GCACAGTTTAAGGGGAAAAAATCTTTCCTTGGAACACATTTGCAAAGATGGTAGACTTTTTGAACCTAGCAAAGCGAGGTAGCTTCCAAACATGTATAGATCTTTAACATCCAGAAACAATTCCTGACTTATTTCAAGAAAAAGTACAACTTAATTCTCTACAATTATACTCTTTAAATATTCAGTACTGTGCAAAGGTCTGTGTAAAAAAGACCAACCTTCATTTATCTCATTTCCACTTGCATTAGGAAGGGGAATGTCAAAGGAAAATCAGTGAAAAAAATGTGGAGTTCAAAAAATGATTAAAAGATACAGAGAAACTGGGACTCCATGCAAGATCTGGTAGACCACCAACAATTCCCCCATCAGATAAACAGGACATTTATCGTTGAGAGAGAGAATCAAGCTGCTTCAGACCTGAAAACATCCACAGGTGTTTCTGTCCATCCCTCCACTGTGAGAAGACGACTCAGCACTATCTGAAAGGATGTGTAGCTGTCAAGAAGCTCTTACTGAGAAATGGAAACAGACCCATCAAACAAAGAAGCTGCTGGTGTTCTCAGAACAATGGACTGACCTCAACATCACTCAACGTGTGGGATTACTTGGATTGTGTGAAGCAAAAAATGCAACCAACTTCTAAGACTGAACTTTGGAGGTGTGGAAAAACATCCTGCAGATTTTTTCGAAAAATTGAAAGCGAGTCTCCAGGAACGAATGCAACCTGTAATAAAGGTAAAGGGAGGACAAACTAAATATCGAAAAAATGAAATTAGATTTAGTTATTGAAGCTTCTGTGTGAGTGTCTGTAAAATATGTTTTCTGATTATTTCCTGAAAATAAATAAGCTGTACGTAATGACTGAATTTTGACTGGAAATTCAATAAAAGAAAAGGAGGTCTCTGGCTTTTGACACAGCGCTGCACATTAAAAACGTACCGTTTATCTTGAACACTTTCTGAAACACTAGAAGAACTGGCCAGTCACCCATGACATTTGAAGTGTTCTGAGGAATCTCAAGTTCTTCAGCTCCAAATGCAGTGAGAAGCTGAAGAGAATGAGGGACTAACCCAAGCAGGCCATGGGAAAACTGGGGGTGGATGAACACCAAGTCAAGTCTGAGGCTTTTGTCTCTGACCCTGGCAACTACTAATAACTTACCAATGGGAAAGATGAAGGCTACATATGACTTACCATGCAGCACAATTCATATTTACAGGGATTATTTCCAGCTCTGCTTAAAGGATTGTTTGTAAATGCAACGTTTGAAAAGTCAGTATTACACAACACATATTCCCAATATATCACAGTATCAGGATATTTGATATTTTAAGTTTACACTAACATTGCTGTTAAAAATAAAGTATTATAGTTTCTATATTTTCTTGTCATATCTTTTCCCTCCTCAGCTTGATCTTTCCAGGTCTGACTCTCACTCTGGTCACATTATGTAATTTCTGCTATTTCTACACTGTTGCTCATACTCCACACAAGGAAATTTCCCTGAAATCCCAGACCGTCCAACTGGTCTTTCAAGCAGACACAAAAAGACTTGGTAGACACGTAACGACTGGACAAAACATATTTATGGAAACCAAACAGTCTTTTTCACTTCCTCTGCCAGAAACATCCCTTCACAGCAAATGTTGATGAACAACATGCATTCATCTAGCTTCCACCTCCCTTCACAGGACAGGTGCTAAAGAGATCTGGTTTCGAAACTGCACTTCCCATTAGAGCAGCTAGCTTCTGACACGTCTGATGACCTCTGACATTAGCCCTCTCTTCCAGTTCTAATGAGGTTTGAAGGCTGGTTACGCTACTCTGATCAGAGAAACAGGCCTTAGACTTTGACCAGTTGTGTCACATTTGCATATGTTTTGCTTATTAGTTCACTGGTACAACAGAACAAATGACAAAACAAATTGAGTCAGAACCTCTAGTGATGCATGTGTTCATTAGTTTCCTCAACATCGTACTGAATGTCAAGGCATTCCTTTATCCTGACACAAATAAACAGAAATGACTATTTCTTTTTGGGTCTGGTGATTTAGACATCATGCTGGAATAGGAGCTGACATTCATGCGAAGATGCTCTGTTCTGCCAAAAATCTGATGGATGACCTGTTCAAATCCTCAACGGCTGCCAAGATCTCAACAAGCAGCCTTCTGTAAAAAACTGTAAAACCAAAATGGAGATACGAGGTTTTGTTCCAACAGCAGCGATATTTACACTTACAAAAACAATGGAATTGAACAGGGATGCCCGAACTTTTGCATACTACTGTATGTCACTTTGCAACTCCCAGGTTTAGCCAAGCAGATAAACAAGCAGCTTTTTTTGCTTCTTCATATATGACAAAACATGATTACTAGCTCATTATGCAATAAACCATTTACATTTGGAGTTGTCAAAAAAGTCTGTTATTTGAAGTGATTACATCATATGTGAACTCAATATCATCATTCAGCTTAAAACGTAAACAAACGTCTTTGTTCACAATGACCAAGTTGCTAAAGAGCTGACAGATGTCTGCAAATATAATACATTAAATAAAAATCTACTCAACTTCAAAGTAGATGGCTGCTGTTTTGTTCATTTATGGTCAGTAATGCCATGTTTGCTAGCCACCGTGTGTAATAAGGTCAACTAACTACTGGTCATAAACATACCGGGTACCACTGCAGATAGCGTTTAACATTTGAATGTACGTGTGCTGATCAAACTAAAATCACCTAATTTAAACATGGCCTTTAGCCTAATAGGTAACCACAGAGGCCAAAATCAAAACTCATGGTGCTGATAATATGCAATTAATTCTGCATCGTCGACTCACTGTTTATGCTGAGTGCACTTAAGTAATCAAGCTGCTGACCTTTTAGACACACTAGCAGAGAGAGCATGGGGAACAATACGCTCTCTAATTGATATGCTAAGGATGAGGCCAGTTGATTTGATTAAGAGGCTCAAATCAATGATCCACATGGAGAGGTTTACCCCAGCAGTGCCAACACACCAGCAGCATCCTGTTCCTCCTTCAATACCATGTTCAGGCTTAATACATGATCCATTACCTAATGAAGACCAGGTTCCAGGAATGGAGAAATGGCCAAAACGATTATGCACTGCTGCCGCCTCCTCCATCACTGGACATTTTTCACTTTCTCCAGCCAGTACAACAGGAGACCATAAAATAAGATTTATTACTAGATGGTCAGGTGGGAAAACGGTGGTAAAGAGAAGGATGAAGCTACAATAAAAAAGCCAAAGTCAGGCGCAGCCAAGAGGAACTGGACATTGGAAAAAGGTTGTAACCAGCAAGTGTCCCTTCATGATCTCCCCAGCATTAACCCTAATTTAACTAACATATTGTTTGTTCAATTCCAGACTTTAGGCGTTTTCACTCTTGGGCCGTTTCAGCTTTTCAAACAGCCTCAGACTGCTGAGTCATGGTTTTCTACGCATATGTGTGCACATCAAATGACCCTTCTAGGCAGTCTCACAAACAACCCAAACTCAGACCACCTTATCTGATTTCAGCTAGTTTGTGGTTTGTTTTGTGGTCCAATTTTTCGTACGTTATGGAAACAAATCCACTTTGCGTTGTGCTTTATGGTTAAAGAAACTCAAAGTCAAAAAGGCTCATTGCTTTTATAAAACGGCAACAAAGATAAGACAAATACAATATATTTATGATTAAAAATCAATTAAAAATAAAAATGATTGCATCTACAATAGTAACTGTTCAGTGTTTTCACAGCTTGCCACTACTGGAGCATTTTACCATGAGTGGTATGGCTCAGCCAATCATATCCGTCGATTGACAAACCTGAACCACACAGCCCATAATTCAGCATTACCCAGGAGGTGTCTGAGCTCTAAAGAAGTTATAGTGTGAACAAGAAATGGTCTAAGAAAAAAAAAGCACCAGGAAGAGAACTGATTCCCCTTTAAAGTTCGCTTATATTGTGAACACAAAAAGCATTGAGGTCATTTGCAGCTGGCTCCCTTTCAGGTTCATTTGAAAAGAACTGAGTTCAGTTAATCTGAAAAGAGCTGTATGTGAAAACAACCTTCGTCTTTGTCCCCTTTGACTGGTTAAAATCTGACCTCAGAGTAGTTGGCATGTGTCCACATTAGTCATAGTAAAATGGATCAGTATGTGAAAAAATGGAGCTTTCAGTGTGCTACCTGCATAAAAAAACCTTTATTGTTGAATGCTCTTTGATTCTGAGCAACTGTGTCACAAACAGATCATCTCTGAGGTAACGGAGCAGAACCTTTTGAACAACATTTTGGAGAAATTTAGGATAAAGTAGTCCTAAAGTAGTCCTTGTACTGTTTCTCATAAGAGGAACTAAAGAAGAAATTACTAGAACACTAGAACAGAATATGCAGTGTACGAAATAGGCAACTGAAGGAACTGTGGTCCAGATTAATGACTCTTTTATTCATTTATTGATTAATATGTGCTTATTAACAGTATATGGTAATTATTCTTACAAAGGGGTCAGGCGTGCCCAAGCAGGGCATGGGACAACAAAGAAGACAGAAAGATTTAAAAAGTTTCTAAATACGTATTTCTTAATATTACACTATAGTTTGTTCTAAAAATACAAAAAGACAGTGTTAAAAAGAAAAAGCTATTTAATAAGTTATATACTGTGTACAAATATGTTTGCTCTCATTGGGTCAGGGGGTGGCAGCCCTGGTTTAGGTTTAAGTTTTCATTTGTTTAGGCGTATGAGGTGAATTATTTTGGGCTGTTTGAGAGTTTTCTCGCTCTTTATTTCATATGTTCATTGTTTATTTCCACAAGAACATTATGAGCTTGAAGGCTTGTTAAGTATCCTGATGTTCCACTGACACTGAGACATTAGCAAACTGCCATTCAAGTAGACAGGAAAGCACATAATATCTTGTTCTGCTGTGGTTCGTTACATGTAAGCATGTAGTTTAGTCTGCTTCCGTCTCTCTCTCTCTCTCTTTTCCTCACTAGGTGTGGCTGCTTGGGACCACCGGTAGTTCCAAAACGCACTTCGTCATATTCTTTACTTCATAACTTTCATATTTTATAAGCTTCATTCAAAAGGTGGGTGTCATATGAGAACCGTAACTGTCTTCTTTAAAGTCAAATAGATGGGTGATGTAATTTTAAAACTTTATAATAAAAGAAGCTGAACTTTTTTTTTTCTACTGAAAGTTGACCCATTTTTCCACAATTCTGAGCTTCTGGATCCCAGATGGTGTCTCTTCAGTGATATTCTCTGTAAAAATTACTTTTATAAAAAAATACAAAGAGCATCTAAGACTTTGTAAGATCTGGAATTCCGCAAGGCTCTATTTTAGGACCATTATTATTTACATTATACATGCTACCGTTAGGCACAGTTATAAGTAACCATGGCATTAACTTTCACTGTTACGCAGACGATATGCAATTGTACATATCAGCCAAGCCTGATGACAAATACAGGTTAAAGAAAATAGAGGACTGTGTAAAAGATGTGAAAGGTTGGATGTTGCGTAACTTCCTCCTTCTAAACAGTAACAAAACAGAGGTTCTCCTTCTGGGTCCAAAAGTGGCAAGAAATAAATTATCAGATTTAACTTTAAATCTCGTTGACTTCCCAGTTATACCTGGTTCAGCAGCAAAAAATCTTGGTGTAATACTCGATCCAGATTTATCATTCGATCAACACATAGGCAGCATCACTAGGACAGCTTTTTACATCTTCGCAATATCGCCAGAATAAGAAATGCCCTATCACTGCACGATGCAGAAACATTAGTACATGCCTTTATTACCTCAAGGCTAGATTACTGTAACGCATTACTGTCAGGATGCACCAGCAGGAATTTAAGTAAACTTCTACTAGTTCAAAATGCTGCAGCCAGGATTCTCACTAAAACTAGAAAATTTGATCCTATAAGTCCAGTTCTGACATCACTTCATTGGCTGCCTGTTAAATTCCGTATTGATTACAAACTTCTTTTACTGACGTATAAAGCCCTACATGGGCTCGCTCCTGAGTACCTGCAAGACCTTATTTCCCATTACGAGCCACCACGATTACTCAGATCACAGAGTGCTGGCTTTTTAATAGTTCCCAGAATTCAGAAGGTTTCATCTGGGGGAACAGCCTTTTCTTATAAAGCCCCCAAACTCTGGAATGATCTTCCAGAAAATGTTCGGGACTCAGACTCAGTCGCAATCTTCAAATCTAGGCTGAAAACTTTAGTTTAGCTTTTGGTAGTTAATGTTCCTCCTTAGATAAAGGCAGTAGATCCAGGGGTCCATGGACGCAGGGAATTACAGTAAACTGAGACGCTGGTGCTGTTGTCCCGCCACTCACACGCGATCACTCAGGTTTGTGGACGGAGGAGCAGAGGGATGCCAGATTGTTTCAGGGTGCTCCTGTGTCTGTGTGCCCTTTTGGTTCTCTCCTTTTAGTTAAGCTGTTATAGTCAGATCTGCCGGAGTCGTTAGCCACACTCTGGACATGTTTTACATATTATTATACATACACCCATACAGAACTAAACTAACACCATCTCCCTACCTTTTTTCCGAGTAAACGACTGCCCACCTGTCCGCCAGACACTGATGGATGATTGTCTGTCGAGCTCTCCTGCTACCCGCTTCAGACCAGTTGCCCACGCCCCAGTCACCGCCACCTGCCCAGGTACCGCCACCTGCCTTGGACTGGCTGCCCACTCTACACTGAAGTGGACTCCTAACTATTACTACTACTACTATTAATATTAGTAGTATAATAAATTTGTATGTAGTTTGACCAGAGGAGGATGGGTCCCCCCTTGTGAGCCTTGGTTCCTCCCAAGGTTTCTTCCTCAGCTCTGAGGGAGTTTTTCCTTGCCACTGTTGCCCCTGGCTTGCTCACCTGGAGGATTTACATTTCATGTTAAAACTTTGTCCTTAATGGATTTCTGTGAAGCTGCTTTGTGACAACATCAGTTGTAAAAAGCGCTACACAAATAAATTTGACTTGACTTGACTTTTGGCTTTCAGCAGTAAATTGTAAGCATATAGCAATATGTTCATGATCATAAAACACATTTTCTGTTAATTTGAGGGGAACTTTTACCAAAAAAACACAAGTCTTTACAGTCATTTCATGCAGTTAATGAATAATTTGTCTTACGATTTGGGTATGTAAATTCAGATGGAAAAAGCGAAATATACATAAGGGTCCTGGGTGGTATAAAAGGGGTGGGGGGTTATACCAGCTTATTGTCACGCAGATTTGAATGACACAGAGCATGATATACATGATAAACAGTTTGATATCGGATGGTGTGTGATCCGAGAATTCTTCATAGTATAAAAAGGATCAGGTTTTGGAAAGGGGGGAGTAAAAGACGTTGGGGGGTCTGAACGGGACCCCGCACTCTGAGAAACTGAGGGAGCAGCAGGCTGAGACGCTGTGAGCTGTTTGCATTTTTCTACGTGATAACAGGGGAACAATGAGAGTGAAGGGAAGAGAGCGAGCAAGAGCAAGAGAGAGAGAGAGAGAGATCTCAGACCAACAAGATAAAGTTTTCATTCTTTTTGCCATATCTTTTCTTATTTTTCAGCATTCTTTCATTTATCTTTCCTTTCCTTTTACCCCACACACTTAAAACAGAAGGTCCTTCAGGGACTCTTTAGTAAAAAAAATGGTTCTATATAGAACCATGAACACTCAAAGAACCCTGTGCATGATTAAGGGGAAAGGGTTGACTGATTAAGAATGTGTGGTATATGGTTCTATATAGCACCAAAAAAGGTTTTGCTATTGTTACAAGCTTGATTAACAAGATTGTAATAGAAAACCCCTTTTTGGCCCTTTTCAAAAAGGTTCCACCATCTTCAGCACATTCTAAATCAATCTGAAGAACCCTTTCATGATGCAAAGGGTTCTTTGAGTGTTCATGGTTCTATATAGAACCATTCTCTTTACTAAAGAACCCTTGAAGAACCATCTTTTTTAAGTGTGTATTTTTACGTATACAACCGTTCATTTTAACCATCATTAACCCTGTTTCTGTTGGGGGAGACCTCAGAATAAATCTTTGTATTGTGGCATTTTTGATTCAGGCTCATTTCATACAGCGCTATTCTGAGGCCATTCAGATGCAGGAAAAGCTGTGCTGATCTTTAACGTTCAATACAACTTTCCCATTATTGTTCGTTCTAGTCTTTTTAAGGGAAGATACTAGTTTATAACAGCTTTGACATCTTTCTCTATCAAAGATATTTCTGCCTGCTCAGATTCAGTGACGTCAGCACTCACACTGTCATGAAGAGGACACTGTGAGATGGACTGAGGTCATGCTCGGTCGCAGAAGAAAGAGAAGCAGATAGTAGTTGGAAAGTTAAAGGAAGGAAAATGTCAGTTAAGCAGTGGGCTCTAAAAACGTTAAAGCTTTAAAAGGACAAATCAGAGACAGCATTCTATCAGGCCTTTTCTTGCTTTGATTAAAAAATCAAGATTATTATTTTCTCCTTTAAGGAAACCTGAATTCCAAATGGACCTTTTTTATCCTGTTGATGTCTCTGGTCAGCACGATAATAAGCATGATTCATCATATCATTTAAAAGACAACATTCTTGTTTTCCCGTAACCTTCTATCAAACTGTAATGACTTTTGCTCACTTATAAAGCGAGCACCAGTGGGCAGAGAAAAATAATATTAACCAAAAATGTCCCGTTTCACCTCCCCCTCCCACCCACTTGTCATCAAAGAAACCTCAACTAGCTCAGAGACCCTCCCTCACTGATACCACGTTCCACTCGGAAATACAGTACGTCACGTAAGAAAAATGCGCTATGATTTCCAAAGCATGTTGACTTAAAATCTGTAAGAATAAGCATAAGAAGTAGGAAGTAGGGGTGTAACATACTATGGATAACATTATATGAACCTGTATCACAGGCCAATTTGGCAAAAATGTCATATCACGATATTTCAGTATGATACACATTATGCCACAATATTTATTTTTCCTGACATCTGATTAGTTGTAACAAACAAAGTAGTGCCACTTTTTAAAAATGCTATCAAAAACTATGAATACAATGATTTGTACTTAACATTTAACACACTGCACTGCACTAAATTCCAACAAACATGCTCTCTTTGTAATCAAACATGCCGTTGGAAAGTGCTGTTTAAGTGCTGATGATATCCACGATATACACAGAGAAGCACATATTGTGACGTAATTTATCATAATAACGACAACTGCTGCCATCTTGCTCAGCCCTAGTATCACAGCGTATCGTATAGTATCATTATATAGTAAATAGCTTGTTTAGTTTGTGGTCAGTGTTAGCATGGGGCTAACATTTAAAACACTCATAAAGACACTATAAAGCACAGCTTTGGTTTCAAATACTGCATTTTTACAATGCCATAAACTGAAATGGAAACTTTAACATAGTAACATAAGACACATTTAGGTACTCTTTATTTTTGCTGTACTGAAAAAACATATCTAATCAAGACACCACTGTTCCATATTGACGTATTGAACCGTATTATGATTTTTGTGTATATTATGCCACCCCTAATTATGAGGCAGTAATAAGGCCTCGATTCTTAGATGCATCGCGATGCGGACGTGAACGATTCTGAATCGATTCACAAATGTCAAAAATCGATTTTTCTAAATATTTAATTTATAACATAATGTTGACGGAACGCAAAAGGCGGAACTGGAAGCGCGGAAGTGCAGCGCCCGGACAGTCTGTGGCGGCACATAACAAAAACACAACTGGATGAGTGAGAAATCCGACCGGCTCCCTCTGCATCAAAGTCAGGTTAGATCAGGAGTCACAGCCCAAATGTTAAGAAGAGAAAAAAGATGCATCGAGATGCATCGATAATCGTTTTATAATCGCATCGCAGCCCTCTGAATCATAATTGAATCGAATTGTGAGGTGCCTAAAGATTCCCACCCCTAACATATATATAATGAATACAAAAAGTAACGTATATATGGTTTACCCCTACAATTCCCTTAACATTCCTTATCATTTAGGGACTCAGTAACTACAGGAAGTCCAATGCAAACTGGTTGAGCTTAGATTATTAGGTTATAGAAGTGTGTAATAAAACATGTAAGTGTGTATAGAAGAGTGAATGCAAAGTTGCATCTGGTCATTTACT